CGGGCGGCGGCCGCCCCGGCCCCGGCCCCGGCCCCGGTCCCCCGCCGTCGCCCGCAGCCGCCATCTCCTCTGCGACCCAGAACCGGCGCCACTGACAGCGGCGAGATCCGGGCCGTGCGAAGTACCGCCCACCCGCGGGGCGGGGAAGGCCAGCCGATTGGGCCGCCTAGCCGCCAGTCACACGGGCGTGGCGAAAAACCCTGGGCCGGTTGGCTCGCTTCCTGGCAATCGGGAGAGGACGGCTCTGATTGGCCACATTCCGGGCGTGGGCGGTGCCCCAGCTGGTTCAATACAAAGCGGCGGGGGGCGGCGGGCTCCTTCCGGGGGTGCGGAGACCGCGGGCCCGGGCCGGGCCGGGGTGCGGCGCCCGCCATGGAGCTGGGGTCCCGCTTCAGGAACTACGAGGACTTCAGGGAGCGCTTCCGCGCCTACAAGCTGGCGCAGGGGTGCCGCTACGGCCTGCGGAGCTGCCTCTCCGTCCGCTGCCACAACCGGCAGCACGGCACCGCCGTCCGCGAGGACGTCGTGTAAGGGCCGCCCCGCCGCGGCCCCCGCGGTGTGCTCGGTGCTCGGGGGTGGGGGGGCGTCGGTGGTCCCCGGGGGAGGCCCGGCGCAGGCGCCGGGAACCGGCACGCCCCGCAGGCAGGGCCGTCAGCCGGCTGTCGGTCCCCAGCCGGGCGTTGTTCCCCCGGGGCCGGAGCTCTTGCTGGTGCCCGGCTGCGTGCCCTCAGCAGCGAGCCGTTCCCGAGGTCAGCAGGGTCGATCCCGACAGCGTCGCACGCCCGCGGAGAAGAATGCCGCCGGTTATGTCGCGCACCTGCCGTTTTCAGAGTCTCGGCTGTTCTCGTGCCGCCCTTACCCAGCTCTGTCCCAGCCCTCTCGCTCCCCGCTCCTTCCCCAGCTAGTGCTCTGCTGTCCTGGGTCTGCTGCTTAGTTCTGCTTTACTAATTCTCTCTGCCTCTTGTTGCAAAACCTGTAGCTTGGATCTTCGAAGTCATCCTTCTAGGACGTTGCTGGTCAACTACAGCTCCCGCCTTTTTCCGCTCAAGGAGCAAGATGCTAAATATCAGCATCTGTTGGCATTCCCTGGCTGCCTTTACCTCGCCGCGATGGAGGGGTGTTGTCAGGTTTCCCTCTTGCAGTACCCGATTCCGCAGCCTTCGCCTACCAGAGCGGGTCTAGTGATAACGTCTCGTTTCTGTCCAAGTTGATGGATCCGCTCGTGTGCGCAGAGGCTGCAAGGTCGTTCTGCAGTTACACAACTGCTCCCCTTGCCTTCTTAAAATGTAATTTAATCCCATGCCTTGAAGCCTTTCTTGCAATGTTCTAACGTGCTCCTCCAGACGCAGAGGAGTTGCAGAAATGATATGTGCTTTAGGGGAGTAAGACCGAAACATGCAGGTATCAAGTTTGGGTCAATGGCTTTGCAACAGAGGCGCCATTGGGAATGACAGCCAGGGCTGCTTGGTGGTGTCTGGTCGTGGCTGTTGTAACTCTTGATTCCGTCACTCCTCCTGCGTTTGAGCTTTCTTACCCCAGGCTTCGCTGAGCAGAAAGCCAGCCTACGTGTCTGACTGGCATACGTGGTTTTCATGTGCTCACCGATTGAATATAGAGTTGGCATGCAAGAAAAGCCTAAACTAAGTGCTGGCAGCCTACACTGCCATTGCTGACCCCACTAACGCTTTCTCAATGTTTGCAGGTTCATGCAGGTGAAGTTTGGTTGTGCCCGGACCCAAAAATACAGCAAGAAGAGAAAGCAGCAGCCCAGCTTGTGTCCGGCTTACTTTGTGTTGCAATATAAGGAGGACATTGACCAGCTTGTGATCAGCGAACTGAACAGTGACCACATCCATGCGGACCCGGTGTTTTCCCTGACCAGAGCTGCCACTGCGACGGCAAGCACCGCGACACGTGACGGCCCTGCAACAGAACTCTGTGAGCAGCAGCAGGTGGGTGGGACCAACAGCAGTGCTGAGGCGCATGAGGACTCACACACGGTTGCAGGACAACCGGTGGACGGGGCGCCTGCTCCGTACGGGGCTCCCGCGCTCCCTGAAGCAGTGAAGGAAAATGCCTCAGCGCTCATCAGGGTGGCTGAGGTCATGAAAACCTTCCTAAGGGTGGACAGGGGCTCGTTGGCCTCCATCAGCGCAGACAGTGACCATGGCCTGGACAGACTCAGCTTCCAGACCAGCAAGATGAAGAGCTTGTTTATGCAGTTCCCCGAGAGCCTCCTGCTGCACAGGGCGCTGAGCGAGAGGGGACACGTTCTCTATGCTCTCCTTGTAGAGAGTGAGGAGCGAGTGGGGAAAGTGGTGCACTTGTCACTGCTGAAGGATGACACAGCATCCAGCATCAGGAAAATGCTGACCATCTTCAAGGAGTTCAACCCCGAGTGGCAAAAGGTCCAGACTGTTTTCGTGGACGTGTCCTTCTTTCACAAAGCCATCCTCCAAGAGCTCTTTCCTGCTGCCCAGGTGCTCCTTTCTGTCTATCACACTGTCCGACTGCTCGAGAAGAACGTGAGGGAAGCAGAAATCTCCTCTTCACTCAAGCAGAACTTGATGCTGGCCTTGCAGAAGGCCGTGTTTTCCCCTTCAGCTGCAAGTCTGGATGCCCTCTCCCAGCTGGTGAAGCGTGTGGTCAGCCCAGAGCTGTACAACTACCTGCGAGCCAACTGGTTCTCCTGCGAGCTGCTGTGGTGCCTGCACGCAGAGAAAGGTCTGCACTCCTGTGGCACGCACATGGACAGCCTGGACCTCATCATGCACCGGATATCCAGCCTCTTTGGCTGGCAGCCGTCCTTGGAGGCGAGCGTTCTTCGTTTTCTGGAGTGTGCGGACTGCCTTGATTCCAGGAGTTTGGAAAGCCTGAACCGGGGCTCCTCAAGCACCGAGGAGGACGGTTGGAGCAGCCTCCAGGAGCAGCCTGACGCGCGTGCCAGTGCTGCAGCAGGACCAGGCCCCGTTTCTGGCTCTCCAGCTCTTGCCGAGCGCCCTGAGCCCACTGGGCAGGCTGCAGCGGCGGGGACGGACAGCATGCTGGCCACACTGTGGGAGAGCTGCACGGACCTGGGCTCCTGGCTGTGCCTGAAGGAGTGGGAGGTGGTGCAGACGTCCACCCAGCTGCTCAGCCCGGTGCCGGGCAGCCTCACCGTTCGGCTGCTGGAGGACGCACACCGGGTGAGCCGGGACTGCCGCAGCTGCAGCTGCTGCTTCCACCGCCGCTACCGGCTCCCCTGCAGGCATGTCCTGGCCGTGCTGCAGGCGCACCGGGGACGTGTGGAGGAGGGCATGGTGTGCAGGCGCTGGCAGAGGAGGTACCAGCGGCTCCCGGCCCCTGGGGCCGGTCCCCCGGGCTGTGGCGGGGGCTCGGTGGGCAACCGGCCGGAGGGCAGGGAGGAGAGAGTCCGGTCCCTCAGCCTGGAGCTGGCCAACCTGCTGATGCAGTGCGAGGGGCAGGAGCTGGAGGAGCGCAGCTCGGCGCTGGCGGCGATCCTGGCTGCCTTGGGGCGGGCCC